AGTGTGCCGTGAGATAAAAACGGTTGAAAAACACTGGTTTAGACACTGAGCGAGTATTAGTTTTAAATATGCCATTGTGGCAAACAGCACCAATAGCAGGACTCGTTTTATGGTATTTTCTGGTCATGATTATACATTATGAATGCTTTATTCGTAATTACTATTAGTTAAAAATGAAAATAAGTTAAAATTTTAGATAGCGACCTTACTTATATATGAATGGTTTTTCCATAAAAAATACTGTAATGTTTAAAACAGAATGTTCTAACTCGTGAAATTATAAGATGGAATTTTGAATAAAATAAAATATAAGGCGTCTTAAAAGTTGATATTTTCTCACTCTGAAAATGCTTCTGGAAATCTTTTCTGGCTATGAACTTTACAATTCCAAAGTTATGTCAGAACTAAACAATAAATCATAATACAGGGTAACTTCCATTGACGGACATTCCCGAATAGTGGGCACCTCTACTTTACGGGCAGTTTTACAATCACAGACCCTTCAAATAGGACATTTATTATATTTACCTCTAAATAACGGACGCTGTCGTCCAATCTTACGAACACATAGTCCCCACCTTCAATATTCTGAAAGAATTAATTACGTACAAATTATTTGACATGTTTTTAGGCTCTAGGCTACTACATTTTGGCCACTTTAAAAATAATTTGGAGTACTTTTCGAGGAATTCTGCTTTAATTTTTATAAAACCTATCTGGCAACCTGTGACGTTCTTACGGGACACGTGGTTTACCTGAGTTTATTCATACTAATGTACCGTGCATTCGCTAAATAAGGTCCATCTTTTTATAAAGAAAACGCTGACATTTCTACAAGATTTTTGTTTTTGAAAGTACCTGCCCTTTAGCAGCTTTATCAAAAACTATATCAGCTGGAGAAGACGATTCCGCTGTGTTTGATAAAGTGTAAACATCGGCAGAACCTGTTGTTACTTTTTAAAGATAATTTGATAATGTTCTTCATCTTTTAGTATCTTGACATACATAAACATGTTATTCTACTTATCACATACTTTAATATGACATATAAGATATAGGTACTGATATGTTCCATTTTAATGTGCATTTATTTATCTGTTAGTAAAACGCTAATGGAAAGCGTGGGTTAACGACAGTTTAAATAAAGCCCGTCATTGATGAACCAAATAAGGTCCACCTCCTTATTTGGTTCATCAATTTTCTTGCATGTTTTTTGTTGTTTTAAGCTCCATAAACACATTCTATAAGATACAGTAATGTTTATAATAATAATAATAATAATAATAATAATCTGGAAGTTACCAGAAGAAAGTTGTTATCAAAGTAGACAAATCCCTATATCAATTTTTATTAGTTACAGATAATAAATGAAAGAATAACGAACACATTTCTCATCCCTAGAAGTGGTTAGAAAATCGCTGTAGTAACTCGACATTCGAATTCTCATTGCCTAAACCGATCTTTGTCCACTCTTCCGTTCTTAACAACAGTTTCATTTTTCTTTATCGTTACTTACTTCTGCCCACATCGTTTTTTGATGAATTAATAATTAATCAATGTACGAGTATTTACGCTTTGTCGTAATTTTTATGTTCGCCTGTTTGCTGTTTAGAAATCAATTGAGATTTTTACAGCTGAAAAGATAAGATAATATACTGTATATAGCAGGGGTGGCCAACCTGCGGCTCGCGAGCCACATGCGGCTCTTTGAAGAATTATTTGTGGCTCTCGATAAACGTACCCGAGTTCCCTTTTCATTTTTGTGTTGTTATATTTTTAAAAATTATATTTTATAGTAAGATACTTAATTTAACTTACCAGAAAGTGCTTTCTTTGATGTGAAGAAACAAGCAATCATATTCTCATAATAAAATAATCATATTCAAAAGTGTATATGTACTCTACATATAATTCTGATATAATGAAGCTATAAGCTAGATTTACATTTTGTATATTAAAGTGTATATATGTAAGATGTAAAACTATTTTCTGCTTTTTTATTGGAGTTATGCCTTTATGTAGAAGGCATTTCTTTCGTTATATGCACAATATACTCTGACGTGTTGATTTAGTAATTTCGAACTTGCCTAAATTGGGATCGGGAGAAACTATTATGTAAGCCACCAACTTCGCAATTGTTTGTGATCCTCTAGACCAGAACAAAACTAAATATCATAATAATGCGGACTATTTTCGACGATAAAATGTTTAGACAAAATACAAGTTCACTGTGGAAACTTTTAAAAAGTTCGTCACAATTTTTGACCAGAGTCAGCTGTTCATGTATTAAAAATTATCTAAATATATACAATTACTTGTACTGTCTGACTGACTGACAGATTTATCATCGCCCAGAGCAAACCGCTGAACCTAAANGCGTAATCGTCCGTTATCGACCGACTCCAGACCGATTTTGAATTTGTAAACTGTCATTGCAACGGACAGTTGACATTGTGCTCTGGAGGAAACAATTTGTATCACTCTTGCTACGGATATAATTTGTAATCTGGAATTTTTTGCACACCTTTTTAATACGTATTTAATTACGGCTCGCGAAAAATATCAAATTTTGAAATATGGCTCGGACTATCAAGGAGCTTGGCCACCCTGGGTATATAGGCTATACCCCATATTTTAATTTTATCAATATATGCTAGATATACTGTCTCTAATAGAACAATATATTGATATTGGGAACATAAATATTAAAAAACTACTTTTTTATGATACATAGATAAACACAATCTGCACTTAAATACTTTAATATTTTTGTCACTGCCGTTGCCTCCCGTTATGTGCTTGCTTGCCTTAATATGCCTGTTTAAAATTTGTTTATGACTATATTTTAAACCACATTTACTACATTCCATTTTATTTAACGTAGTTCCTTAACGTTGACAGTGTGATAAACAATGATAAACGCCCTAGTTTTACTCTTCCGGCTCAGGCGAAAAGGCTGACGTCATGAAGTATGTGCCACGGTACGGAAGAAATTGATATTAATACTTGCTTGGAGTTTAAAGTCTAGACGTTTGTAACCACCTACAAAAGCAGTTTTTGGTCTGTGAATCGCGGTTCCAAAGTCAATATGGCCATCGGATTTAACAGTGATGAAATATTTTCATTATTTAACGAGGAAAGAACTGTACAAAAAGACGGGACGGTATTACCGAGCAAGTTAGTTAATCGGTTCAGTAATTTTCGAAACTGTATATTGGATCTAAGCAATCCCTTGGAATATTTCGATGATGTGCAATTTGTTATACGTTGTCGGCTCTCAAAAGCAAATATGTTTATTACATTAATATTAAAGCAATAATCAGTGTAATAAATATTTATTATATTAATTAATACTGATTATAGCAAGCATAAGTATTGGCACAGCTAGGTAATTATAACGTGCTTTCAAATCGAAAATATATTGATTGAGACCAAATTTTTAAAGTCTTATTATTTTGTTTTTATTTATTTAAATACAAAATTGATTTAAAATTTTACAAAACTAAATAAATTAAGTATGTTGGTTTATAGTAGTGTTGTTAGAGAATTTTTTAGATCGAGATTATGGATGATTTGTCTTTAAACATTACGCATCTTTTTGGAACCTCTATTCAGTTATAAATACAATTTCACCATTTATTTTCTGAAATAACAAATTTGCAGACTATTTATTAGCATTAAAGTCGTTGTGTGCAACTTCTTTCGCCTGACTCTTGCTTTTATTTGAGATTCAATTCATATGTATGTAACGGACGTTTCTTCGCTAGTCGTACGAACAGCGGTTCGCGTGGGCGCAGCTTTGAACCAGGCTCAAATAAGTCGATGTTTGAAGAAGTTTTCTGATTCCATTCTTTGTACGGCCCTCTAACTTCACAGAAAATTACGTTTGTTTTTATAATAAAATTTCTTGAAATAATGTAAAGATAATTTAAATACTTTAACGTTTAATACTTGCGTGTGCGCTACCAACAGTATAGCATTCATTAAACTGTTTTTTAGCTACAATGCATTAATTATTTTATTATCTAAAATTCGTCACTTATGTGATGAGCAATGTTGATTTTTAGGGCGATTCGTCATCGGAAACGGAAGTTATTAGTAATTCTTCTTTGTGGTGTGCGTCTATTTTATAATGTGCATATTTATATACAGTATATATTTAATATATACAGTGGTGTCTCGTATAACGTAATCCGTTCCAGGTGCATGTCCGTTAAGTGAAAAGTCCGTTATACGAAACGCATTTTCCCATAGAAATACATGTTAAAACAAATATAATTCGTTCCGCAGCATAAAATAACCGTACCATAAAAAAATTAAAATGGAGCAGTCACCAATTATGCTGGGTAGTCAGATGTTGTGAGGAAGAGGTGGAGGAACACTTTCTTCACACATTCATACAGATACAGACTTTCTACATATTGCAGCAGATCTCTTTTTACTGTTTTTTAATCGGAGTCAGATTCAGGAGAGGCTACCGGAGCTTGCAGGGTCAACTCCTCTTGTTCCATCCTTTGTTTTTTGTTAGCTGGCTTCTTGAAAAACATGTCCAAGGTGGTCTGTTTCTCTCTCTTCTTCAACAACCTGTCAGAAATGACGGGCAGGGGTGTCACTGTAGAGATCATTGATCCTGTTGGCCTCAGCTCTGTTTGGATAATGAGTTTTGGTAAACTCCTGAACCTCTCCTCAATTGACAGGGAAGTTTTTGTCAACTTTCACTCCTTCTGATGATTTCTTGCTTTGTTTCAATTGAAATCATCTTTCTGTTTTTAGAAGCCATGATTTGCATAACACTTGAATAAATGGAAATACCCTGCACTGAGGTGATGTACTGTATGTAATAAACAAAGGAGCAAGCCGAATTCCAACAGGAGCTCTGTACTTCAGATATACTAATAATANAATAAAACAAATAATAGTATAAATTATCATTATTATATTATTAATAATTAATATTAAATATAAATTAATGCATTTTCAAAAATTATTATTATAAATTTCTACTTCTTAAATGAAGATCTGTTATATTTCACGTTTTTAAATTTTCTGGACAAACTTTTTTTCTTGGAAGAACCTTTTAATAATGATAAGAAACTTGGAAGGTTTTTCTCCTCCAAATTTATTTCCATATCATTTGCTATATTTGGTGGAAAAGATAAGAAATTAGGTGCTGCATCTCTGCTGGCAAATAGATCTGTAACATAATCATGAAGAGGCGAAGGTATTAATGGTACAGTATTTGTTTGAAGTGACAACATCTCATCTGAAAATGCACTGGGTAGATTGGGGCTATGTACTGGATAAGATTGAATATCATTTTTGTTGAGACTTTCAGAAAAATCTTCAAATAGTTGATTGTCATTTCTGTTTAAAAAAAAATTGCCAGAGTCATCAGTGCTCTTGGGGTTGTTAAAAGGATCTGGATTGGATAATACTGATATGTCAATTGGAAGGAATTTTGGTTTCTCATTTGGAGCTTCCTGTTTTCCTTGGTCCAGATTTGAAACATCTATAACCAGAATCTGCTTATTGTCTTTCTTAGCCTCAGTTCTTTTATTTCTATAATTTTCAAATATTTTCTTAGATTTATTGTTATCCATTTTGTGAATTTGTTTAAAATCTTCTGAAGCATCTAATGATTTCAGTATTGGACTGCTTTCCATCCATTGAATGAAAAATGATTGAAAAATAATCATAATCCAGATGAAAATCTTTGGACAAATAATTTCCATTTCTGAAATAAATTCATCAATAATAAATTATAAAGTAAACTATTTAGAATAAATTCAACTGAAAAATTAATACTTCTTAAGTGCATATAAATTCTAAATTTATACAATCTAACTTTTTTGTAAGGGAAAAGAACAATTAATCAAAATTAACAATTACAGAATTATTGATTATAAAAATTATTTTATTGATTAATCTTGTAACAGAAAATATATACTTATCAAAAAATTAACTAAATATCTGTAAGCAGTGAGGTGACTTCATCCTAGTATCCATACATAAATGAAGTTAGCTTGATTTGGAAGAGCAAGCATATGATCAATTATGTGAAAAAACAAAATGTGTAATCCCAGCATCATTGATGAAGAGATGCTCTTTATCCCTTCAAAGTTATGGAAGGTATAAGCTTCATCTCTGATCAATGATGCTGGGATCATATCATGTTCTTCCAGATAACTAACTGATTATAAATGATACTTACTCTTTCAAATCAATAATGCCATGAAGGTAAAATATATATAATCCAGAATTGTTTGTGTTATTTTTTATCTACTACTCCTTATTTTATTTATAATAAACCATTACAAATATGACTCAAAATCTGAACAGATGTTCATCATTTGCCATTCATTCCTATCAATATAATAAAAATTAGGAGGTACAGTACAGTACATCTAGGGATGGATCTAGGTTTTTCAGGGCCTAGAGCTTATTGAAATCCAATGAGGCCCCATGTTTTGTTGGTTTAAGAATCTTTACATTGATTACAATAAAACAAATAATAGTATAAATTATCATTATTATATTATTAATATTAACTAATTTTTACTATACACATTGGCGTACCGTAGTGGGGGCGGCCCGCCCCGGGCGGCACTTTTTAGGGGTCGGCAAAATTTCAGAATAAATAATAATAATATCTTGTAAAAATTTGAAACATCCTAATCTGTACTTGCATCGCGCCTACGATAGTGCTATCGTCAGGACAGTCCGGGAATCTCGCCGTCCGGGTGAAGAAGTAATTTTTTTTTTTTTTTTTTTTTTTTACCACACCATCCATCCATCGCCAATCAAGACTTTTTCTACCCTTTCTATACTTCTAATAAAACATTTTCCTGTGCACTCTTATCCCGGTCTCTGTGCCATCTTGCACCATAGGTGGGACTAGATTGCAAATATTTATTTCTTTCGAAAAATTCCTTCTATAACCTATTAATTTCGTTCTATACAATTTTTTCGATGATTTTTTAAATCTAGAATAATTAAAGAGATGTTTTGACAATATTTTCTAATAGATTATTAATTATTGTAGCAAAACCCTAGCTCTTGCCCCACTTTCCCACAATTATTTTTACACAAATTTATTCAATAGAAATAGAAGGGTGTT